CCCCCTAACCAGCACCTCCCCCTCCATGCATCCGCTACCCAACTCACTGCACACATTCCCGCTAATCAACCCTTCAACCGAGCTGAAACTCCAACATAGATCATCACGGGCGTGTGGCTCAGTTGGTAGAGCGTTCGCTTAGCATGTTCTGTTCTTCAGCATGCGAAAGGTCCTGGGTTCGATTCCCAGCTCGTCCAATTCCCTGATCACTTTCATCTCTTCTCCATTAAGGGCGTGTGGCTCAGTTGGTAGAGCGTTCGCTTAGCATACCTACCTTCCAGACGGAGACTGATATGCGAAAGGTCCTGGGTTCGATTCCCAGCTCGTCCAAAAGGGAGGTGTTGTGGTGAGATGGCATTCTGTTTTTTCTTTTCTTTTTTACCTGTTTCTCCTTGGCTAGATGTCATTTATTCATTCAGTGCTGAGAAAATACCGTTCGGGAGGTCTCTTTTTGCCCGCCCGCCCACTGTTTTCCAGGTTGTGTGGTAGATGTTGTTGTTGTTCTTCATTGATCTGCCGAGACTATCATCAGCTCTGGTCCAACACACCACCTCTCATGACGTCTCCCCCCGGCCAGTGGTGTTCACAACTTACTCTTCTCCTTCCCCCCCTCCTCCTTGTCCTTCCCATCAATCAACACCACCAACTTCCCAAACTGCTTCCCCTCCTTCATCTCCTCAAACAACTCATCAATCCCCTGCAAATTATCCAGTCCCCTCACCACCTTGCTCACAACCGGCCTGATCCCCTTCTCCCTCACAAACGCCACCATCTCCTCAAACTCCTTCCTGCTCCCCATCGTCGACCCCTTCAACTCCACATTCTTGAGCACAGCCTGCATCAACCAATCCATCTTCGGACTAACCGTCATCCCATAACTACTAATCACCCCTCCACTCTTCAACAGCTTCACACTCCGCGCCACCACGTCCCCACCCGCTCCATCCACCACCGCATCCAGATACGGCCTGTCCTTGGGTAACTGCTTAAGCAGCTGCTTATCCCAATCCTTCTCTTTATAAATAACCCCGCCCCTAGCACCCATTTTCTTCGCCTTCTCAATCTTTTCAGCGTTCCCCGAAGTGACAAAGACGTTACACCCCATCGCCACAGCGAACTGCAGTACCTGCAATGCAACACCGCCACCAATACCCGTCACCAAGATATTCTGCCCCGGCTTAGCCTGCGCCTTGGTCACCAAGGCCCTCCACCCCGTCAGTCCCACAAGCGGCAACGCCGCGCCCTCAGCAGCAGATAAATGCTCGGGCGCGCTCACTGCTTCCGCCTCGGGAACAACGATGTACTCCTGCGCCGTGCCGGCGTCCGTCAACTGAGACGCCCCAACGACCGTGAAAGGCTGGTTCGGATCATCAGGTCCGTCAGGGGAGGAAATCCATCCGCGGCTGGGGGTGATGAGCACGGGTTTGCCGACGAGGCTGGACGCAGAGGGGGAGACATTGGGGCCAGCGGCTTCGACGACGCCGTACCCGTCGGCGAGGAAGGGGCGGTCGAAGGAGATGCCGGGGTAGAGGTGTTGGCGGATGAAGAGGTCGCGGTGGTTGAGGGCGCAGGACCGGAGGCGGACGAGGAGTTCACCTGGCCCGGGAGTGGGTTTGGGGATGGTGTTTAGTTGGAGGCTGTGTGTGGATTGTTAGTGATAAGGTTGAGATGGGGGGTTGGAGGTGATGGGGATATGGGGAAAAGTAAGAGAGGTGAGATGAACGTGAGG